ATTCATGCATTCATTTATTCAGTCATTTAGTCAGTCAGTCAGTCTGTCAGTCAGTCAGTGGTGGCAACGAAACCGATTACAGAAATCAATATCATCATCGTATAACAATAGGCACTTGTTGTTGTTGTTGTTGTTGTTGTTGTTGTGAGAACAGTAGGGTAATAGATGTGATTATATAATTTGGCATTATCTTTCTGATCGTGATTGCGAATATCGTCACAAAATGTGAGAAACTATCGTTCCGCATTCTACCACTAGCTATCATCCTTCATTGCTGTGTGGAAAATTAGCTGCCAGTATATCTCCATGTCTTCATGCAATCACATTTTGAATACGCACTTAATATAACTGATTCATACTAAATTACTTTAGTATAGTTGGATCACATTAGCATGACTGATCAGTGTACAGCTTCTCTTTTTCAATCAATCAATAATATATAATTGGACTGTGAAAACCAACTGATTAGGAGAGAACAATAAAGCTGAGTTCATAGTTTACAGATTCATATGTGGATTGAAGTCGTAATAGATTGATCTGAGTTGGGATGATCATTGAGTACTGAAAAACACTGGATAACCGTTTAATTCTAATAGAAGACTCCTCAGTCAGCTGACTAGTAACGAATATAATCAACAAATTACACCAAATTACTCCATCAAGTTTCCCTTCAGTTAAATAGAATTTTCTCCATTCCTTTAAGGTTCATTTGTTCATTGGTTATTTTGTGAAAATTATTAATACTATGTAAACTGTCCAATGAGGTCTCCTAGAAATGATACCTTATTAACAGACCGGAAACAGAAACAACAAATATGGTGGATGCAACACCAATAGTCAACTGTGAAAATGTAAATCACTAGTTGACGATACAAAGAATCCATGGATGTGTTTGCATCACCACATTCCAGATTCAACCCTATCGTCTACAATATCGAACCATCGATGTTACACTTCTTCTTCTTCTTCCAATCAACTCCACAACAACTATAATCCTTCATCGTGTTCAGACACTGTGACACATTATTCACATGTAACTAACTTCCTGCAAATCTGAGTGTTTCTGATAACCACTTCACAGATGATCATAGTAATGATAATCACAATAATTATTATGATTTTGATTATTTTGGTCGCATCGATATATTTCTACAAATGTCGATGCATTGACAAGTGTTGTTATATGAACAAAAAACTGATCAACAATGAATATCATCTGTGAGATATAAAAAGTCGAACAGATCTCAACTGTCTAATCATAACCCTTTATTCTGCACTAGATCATGTTGAACATCAACCGTATTGCACAGTTCAATCAATATGTCATGTGAAGAGATGATCGGTGTTTTTTCCAATGGACATCTGCAACTGGCACAAAAACCATTCTATCACCTGATCGCTTGATAGGTGAGAAAGAGAGAGTAGACGAGTCAAATGGAACACTACTCGATTCATTCCTTACTCCGATTTCCAACTCACAACTGCAATTCAGATCAGTGCAGAATGACACACGAGCAAATAGATGACTAACATGACCATAACGAACCGACAATTAAGAAAATACAATTATGCTCAAATCTGGGAATCGGAGTGGTAAAATAGGGTAGTGAAAGTTGTGTTTAAATTACCATGGATTTGGAGCTGAATCGGGTATGGCAGTGAATCATGCATCGAACGAAAGCTTATGGTGTGTAGAATAAAGCAGATGCAAAACTAAATGTTAGTGTTCTACAAGCTTTCAATTAAGTGAAATCAAGTCACCAAAAATAGCTTCCTTTGTTGGTTATGACTCATTTGTTTCTGTTTATGTCCACACCAACCTTCATCTCCTAGTCACTATCATATTCGCACTTCAAAATTAGGTGTGTAATGAGGAAAGCATCACAATTTGAGACATGATTTGATCAACAAACGAGTAAACAGCTAATCGAATGTTCCAATATCCCTAATTACTAACCTAAAAATCTCACTTATCAAATACGTCAAACGACAAACGAAAATTACCCACTTAAGTAAATATTGCTATCGTTCTTAGATATTGTTTATAGGAAGAAGCATTTACCAACCTTGTCTCACTTCATATCTATCAACAACTGGATCAAATAGTTCAATATGATTTATGAGTGTGATCAGCATCGACTTTTGAAAGACACTATACTCGAATATAGTGTGTGTTGGAGAGAGTGTTGGAAGTGGAAGGGAGGTCAATTTATGAATTCAGTAGGATGGATCGATTAGAACGGAGATGTATCATGCCTATTGTTATACGATGATGATGTTGATTTCTGTAATCTGTTTCGTTGCCACCACTGACTGACTGAATGACTGAATCACAGTCTGACTGACTGACTGACTGACTGAATGAATGAAATGATGAATGACCGAATGAATGAATGAATGAATGAATGAATGAATGAATGAATGAATGAAATGATGAATGACCGAATGAATGAATGAATGAATGAATGAATGAATGAATGAATGAATGAATGAATGAATGAATGAATGAATGAATGAATGAATGAATGAATGAATGAATGAATGAATGAATGACGAATGACCGAATGAATGAATGAATGAATGAAATGATGAATGACCGAATGAATGAATGAATGAATGAACGAATGGCTGTCACATGAACCGAACCGTCTTCAGCCCTTTCCTACTCTCTCACAACATGCGTATATTCATGCATCGTGATCAAGCAGCATCCTGATGATAAGCAGCAAATGAATAAATGCCCATTCCACTAACACTTCACTGATCAACACACACGCAAATCAGACCACCTCATATAACACCACAACACACAGTCATAACATTACACCACACCACATCACACTTGCCAACTCAGAGAAAACGGATGGAGTGTTGTAGTAATTGATTAGGTTGTTTATTTATCAGAAATATCTTAACACAATTGCGTGTGGATTTTTATCGATAGATTATGTACACACATGTATGAAGGATACGAGTTGGTCGGGGAATTGTTCAAACATTGTTGAAATATTGTTCAAATATTGGAGCGTACAAAATCCAACATTCTAGCCACACTGGCATACTCGACAATGATATCGGGAAGGTTTGGCAATGTGACACCATGTGATACGACACCGAGTACTGGACCTTGAGGGGATGGAAGTAGAGGTCCACCACTGTCACCTGGAGCGGGTAACTGTCCGAAATTCTGACCTGATTTCACACAAATAGGATCGCCATTGGTCGCGTGTCGGCATTCCATTATAGTCGCTCGACCTGTGTCAAATAAAGAACAGAACAGAATAGGACAGAATAGAACAGAACAGAATAAAAAGAAGAGAAGAGAAGAGAACAGAACAGAACAAAATAGAACAGAACAGACAAGTGAATTTACAAAACATCAACTGACACTAATTATCCACCTTCAAACTATGCACACAACAAACACTCCACATACAATCCCACATGTGCACCACATTCGACAATCAAGTCACTGTCCATCTCACCACCATCCCTCCATATACATGAAACTGATTGACCATCTACATCATGTACAACAACACACATCCATCGATTGCACAGATATCTCATGAGTCTTCTCTCATCCAAGTGATCTCACTCACAAAATCATCCAATCACTCACTCACTCACTCACTCACTCACTCACTCACTCACTCACTCACTCACTCACTCACTCATTCAATCAATCGCTCACTCACTCACTCAATCAATCAATCAAACATTCTATCAATCAATCAGTCAATCAATTAATCAATCACACATCCCATCCTATCCCATCCCATCCCATCCCATTCCATCGCATCACACCTATCTAATGACAGAGATGCAGATTGAGTCACTCTGCTAGTGAACTGTCACTGGCACATCCGAACACAGTTATAGAGGCTCTGACCAACACAACAACCGGATCAGATAGATAGATGTTGCTTGTTCACCAACACCACCAACTCACTCACCTTTCTTTAAAATTCCACCATTTCTACGTTGTGGATCACGGTCATTATCATCCCTTCCATAACCAACAATGAAAACCGGAGTTCCAGGTCTCGGTATATCCGTTGGCTGTGGCAGACTGAGCACTCTGATTCCACTCTGTAAGTTGACCGTTTGGGTGAGCGTTATAATTGCAATGTCGAATCCACTGAGTGTCTGTTTGATTGGTCTCCTCTGTCGTGCCGACATACAAGAGGGCATATATCCTGGTGCTACCACCACTCCAGACGGTTGATGATGGATGCCTTGTTGGTCGCCATTCCTCAGTGTGAGAAATGAAACCTGAAATACACAACGTATGTTCACATTAGATCTACGCAAACCAAATGCACACACACACACACAAACACTGTGAAATAATTCGATCACATTGAGCAACAATGTGTTTCAGTGTGATCTCTTACCCGAACGACTGGCAGCGGTGAGCAAACACAATGACCAGCTGTGAGCACTGCCCTTGTTGACACTAATGAGCCTGTACACATTGTGTTCTCTGTCGTCACAAATGCGATGAACGGGAATTCAGTGCGTTGTTGCACAGGTTCACCACTACGTATCAACCATGTTGACACACGTTCAACTGTTAGACAGTAGGTGAACAGCGTCACCACCAGAAATCTCCATCGGTTCAACATCACTATGTGACCGTTGCAATCAACCACCTACCTACAATCTCGCAACACATTCACCAATTTACATGCGTCAATATTCCCTGACTGTTGAGTACATGTGAGTGATTTTGCATGTGTGTCAGTGTCAGTGTCAGTGTACTACAATTATGCACTATAAATAAAACCGACTTGCACTCCACTTCAATCATGCATTGTTGTTGTTGTTGTTGTTGTTGTTGTTGTCGTCGTCACGGTTTCGCTTTGTGATCATGGTCATGACACGCCCCAATTATTAATGGGGAAGTGCACGATTCTCGTGTGTTGTCGTGGCATATTTCGCCGTATGACAATCTTGCTCAACCGTTCACCAGAGTATGTCAGCATAAGGAGTAGCACAGCACTCTTCATAAACCACATCATCATCATCATCATCATCATCATCATCATCATCATCATCATCATCATCGTCATCATCATCATCATCATCATCATCATCATCATCATCATCATCATCATCATCATCATCATCATCATCATCATCATCATCATCATCATCATCATCATCATCATCATCATCATCATCATCATCATCATCATCATCATCATCATCATCATCATCATCATCTTCGTCTTCGTTAGAAGCATATCATCACATGAGTGTGATGACATGATGCATGATCACTGTCAATCGCAATCCATTCACAAACTACAACGAATCAAATGTGAATTGGTTGAATTTGTGCAAGTTGGACAAGTTGGAAAAACAATGCCAACGAAGATGCAAATGATGCTTCGAAGTAATATGCGAGCACATTGACGAATCGACTGGTAGACAGAAGGAAGACATGCGTGTATGATAAATGGATTGTGAGAATGGGAACAAAGTGGATGAGGAGATCACAGTAGTTGTATATGACATATGTATATGGTTTAATCAGACCAGATGTGATTGGTATTTATTGATTGACCGGCTACTCAGTTGTTGTTTAGCATTGCTACAATCCAAATAATAATATTGATGATTGTGGCAGTGAGAGTGGAGTGAGATTTTAAGGAGTGAATAATGCCACTTAATTGGTAGTGCATGATGTAAACACTGTAAGATATTGTACTACGGTGTGTGGTGTGGGGCAATTGTTTTCGGTGTGTAACTGCCTTCCACTGGTAATTACTTGAGAATATCTAATTGCAGTGCTATTCCAATATAACATCAAGCTACCATGGTGGTATATTCATGCAAAAGTTGATTGGATATTGTGTCTTCGGTACAATACGAGCTTCCCAGATCTTTCTTAAATTCACTCGGAGCCGTCATTATGATCATGTTATATTTAGAATGTTGATCTGTTTTTAAGATTATGGCCAGACTAGGAAATTCGTGGTCTGCTCTAGAAACTCTCAAGGAACAAACATTGTGTTTATTCATTCAGATTGTTTGGTGTAGCTAATTAAGCTGCAAGGCTTGACTTCAAAGCCGAGGCTTTCAGTTATTTCATAGCCTGATTCATTCTAATCTAGTACCAGTCTAGAAAACTAGCAGACATTTGTCAGGAAGAATAGCATTTGGGTCTGTGTGGAAAGAAGGAACCTTAGTTTTCCTTTGATCTTTTTGATTGGATCGTATGATGGTGTTAATAAAATACACACGTCACCTACTCTCGCATATAATTATCGACTTAATTCACTTTAGAAAATGATGGAATTAATTAAGTCATATACAAGAAAGGATTTCGAACACATGCTTCCAGACAACAGTTGATCCAGACAGACAGTCAGAGAAACGAATCGAAGATGCGCGAGACGAGACAAAATGATGCAATGACTCGACATTCATGCTCAAACGGCACTAAATTACAGTCACACGATGAATAGAGTGGGCAAACAACACACGTATCATCATATTAAAAACAGTCAGGGTCAGTAAGCCAATCAGTGACAAGATGAAAATGCAGTTTGAGAAGAATTGTCGATTTGGGCTTGACATGGTATCAGCCACTACATATCTCCCTATGGAAAATGCGGATAATTATGAGACAAGTTTACGCTAACTATCCCCACAAGCTCAAAATAGATAATGAGTAGTGTGGCAAAGAGACAAGCATTTGATAAGATACTAAATGACAGACAAATACGATAACACACAAGGTAATAGAAATAAGACGTGGATATGTGCTGAGATTCATAATTTTCTATAGACACAAGAGTTCTCATGAGGGTTAAATTGATTTAGTGTCGCATGATGTTTTAGTTGATTAAGGTATGTTAAAAGCTAGAATGAGTCGCCTGTGTGTATTACTACTACATTACAAAATGACATGGCGTGAGTAAGACGAGGCTGCCTCAAGTATGACGCACCTCCAATCAATGAACTCTTTTCGTCGCACTTTTTTAATCTTAACGAATGGAAACGGAGCGATCCCCGTCCATTGGTAATATTTAGTATCGGGATCATGTTATGAACAATGTAATAATTGTGATCGGCTTTAGAGATACTTCACTGACTCTAGAAGAATCCTCCTCGTTGACACTAACGTAGTTGAGATAGTAGATTCAATAGACAAGGCATGCTAGAAAGCCAACCTTCATTAAAGAGTTGCGTTAGAGACTGGTCAGACAAAATGCAGTAAACACAGCTGCCTTAGCGACAAAGAAAATGAGAACATCGATCAACATGTTCATAATTCTATGGGATTGAAAACAAGTAATTCATCAGAACATCACTCGGGTTACTAATAAAGTTTTGAAAATGACTAACGGGGAAATAAAATCATATAGTCACATGGCTCTCAACTTTGGGGGAAATTTGCCACATTTTGGGGAAGCCGCTATAGTAGCCTTTGAGGAACTGGCACTAAAACCCCAAAATTCCCCCAGACCTGGAGAATTTCTCCAATATTTCCCCAAAATTCTCCTTTAACCTTGGTCAAGGTCATTTGACTTTGGGAGTTTCACCCAAAACCCCAAAATTTCCCCAAACTTGGGGGATTGGTTCGATTTCTAAAACCGATTGCAATACGAAGTGGCAACTGATTTTGGAGTCCACTCGTCAAAGATGGTTCAAATGGTTCAAATGGTTGTGGACGGAATAGAAAAGGCTTTCGCTTAACAGGCTTCCGTGTCTAGTATCAGGGGATCACCAAAACCTCCAGGCAGGAACCTAGGTATGTTAACAATAAAAGAGGAAAAATAAATTAGTAAATCATAGTGTGATGCTATCCTTAGTCCTTAGGAATAGATCAAGTTGCCTCTTAGGAGACACCTGGGAAGTCGCTTGGACTGGCTCGGCTGGCAGCGAATTCCAGCATTTGACAACTCTTAAGGAGTAGAAGTTGTGTCTACAGTCCGTTCTGCTATGTTGTGTCTCCAGTTTCTGGGTGTTACCCCTTAGTTTAGTGTTCAAACTAAGCTTAAGTAGGTCTTTATGAGAATATCCAGAAGTGTTAAGAATACTATAAGCCATCAATAGATCACCTCTGAGACGCCTATACTCCAATGGGTAAAGGTCTAGTGAATGGAGACGCTCTTCATAAGGTTTAAATTCGAGTCCTCGAACTGATTTCGTGACTCGCTGTTGGATACGCTCCAGGGTGTCCTTAACCTTTTGGAGTGAGGGAGGAAGTACTATGTTTCTGTACTCTAAATGGGGGCAGATGAAACTATTGAAGATTATATGGAAAGTTCTTCCGTCAAACTGGCCAAAAATGCACTTCAATGTTACCAGTGCCTGGTTTGCTCGAAAGGCATTTTTGTCATAGTTAGCATAAGACTTTAAATCGTGGGGCACCAGAACTCCCAAATCTTTTTCGACTTGGGATACTATTAGAGAGGATTTCCCCAAGTTATAACTGCAGTCTGCGACATGTCGCAGATGGACTACTTTACACTTCGAAGTGTTAAAGGTAAGTCCGTTATTGTCTGGCCAACTTTGACCCCACTAGGACATTCCATAGCCTGCGATAAAGTGACATTAACCCTAACCTTAAAGTGTCGATTTTTCAGGTATGAAGTAAGCCAATCGATTAGAGGTGGTCTGATACCTAGTCGTTTGAGCTTGTCGATAAGACATGTATGGTTAACCTTATCAAAAGCTTTTGAGAAATCTAGGTAGATGATATCAACCTTTCCCTTGTGATCAAGGACGCTTATCCATCTGTCCACCGCAGTCAGCAGGTTGGTTATACAAGAGTAACCCTTCCTGAAAACATGCTGTTGGGGTGAAAAGAAATTTAAGGACAGTAAATAATCATTTATACCATCGCACATCAGGAACTCCATGATTTTTGAAGGTATTGAGAGAAGAGCCACCGGTCGGTAACTTGAAGGTTCGCTGAGTCGATCTCCTTTGATAATTGGTGTGATGTGAGCCAGCTTCCAATTTTCCGGTAGTTTTCCTTGGCTTAGCGAGTGTGAGAACATCACGCTAAGCGGCGTTGCCAGGATTGAGGCTGCTTCTCTCAGTATGGCAGAATGAACCATATCCGGGCCAGGAAAAGTGTCAATTCTTAAGTGCTGCAGTTTCCGGAACACCAAGTCAGCGCTCAGGTTCAATTCGGAAAGTCATTTGGAGCCGCAGATGAAGCATTCGTCATTATAGTTTATGTGCGTCAGTTGAAATGTCCGAGAGAATTGTTCAGCCAAAAGCTTAGCAGCGTCGCCGTCGTCGTTGGTCTGGCCGTCAGGAACTAGCAGTTTGGAAACTCCAGTTTTGACTTGACGAAGAGTGGCTGCATAACGGAATAAGCTTTTAGGATTAGAGACAAATTTATCCACAAGCTTTGTCTGATACTGAAGCCTATCTTCTCTTATAGCCTTCGTGCATATGTTCCTTATATGTTTGTATTGCCTGTACGCTCCGTTGTTGTTTCTTTTGTACTCTGCCCAACAGTGCCTTTTGCGGCTTAGCAGGCGAAGAGCGGGGTTCTTGATGATTGTAGGTTGCTTGTAGCTATTGGGGATCGTTTGAGGAACTGACTGCTTTGTAGCACAAGAGCATGCGCAGTAAGAAATCCCATGGCTCAGAATCGATCACAATGGCGTCGGTGTATACACTCCCTGTCTTCTCTTAAACTAAGAGATTAAAATCACTTCATATCTTTCTTTCTACCAACTAATTCCTTCTTCCTGTACTATATCCTTATATGTAATCTTTCTTTTATATATTACCACCTCTGAACTAACTACTTTTATTAATCCGGTGTCCATTTTGTTGTGTTAATGAGGTATGGCAGCTTGGACCGATGCATATATGTGCCTGGTCCTACGTTGTAGCTGACTGACTGACTGCACATCAATTTGAGGGTGAACATCCTAATCCACCTGTTTTAGATAGTCCAGTAGAGTTGACACATTCAACCATTTGAAATTCCGGCGCAAATTGTTGGTGGGATATCTTAGTTCACTTTTGCTGACAAAACTGATGGCTATGACGGCGTGATCGCTCTTCCCCAGAGGAGCCACGATTGAGGGGTTGTCAACTAGGAATTCTTTGTTTGTAAATACACAGTCTAAGCGCGATGGTGTCTGACAGTTTCTCCAACGAATTGCCGACTTTACATTTTCGTATAATCCCAAGTCCTCAATGAGGTTGAAGTACCGAGCTTCAGTTGAGTTTTCACCTCCAATGTACGTAT